CCTATAACTATATTCTTACAAATCCATGATGTGACTCTACTATGTAATTACATAGTGTGTGTCTCTAAAAGTAACGCCAGCCCTGAAAGGTTTAGACAGTCTGAAAGAGATGATTTGGTCTGCTTAATCCAATGCATTCTGATGAAGGTGAAAGGGAGTTTCCAAAATCACTGTAGCTACAAAGGAAGCTTTCCAATAATTTAAACTTTTAAAAGGATAAAATGGGGTGGGCAGAGGGCTATGAAGAAGATTCCATAATCAAGGATAATTAGGTAATATAATTACTTGTAAGAATTACCATCATGCTGTCTGTGCTTAGTAGGCACTCAAAACTTGTTAAATAACTAAAGGTAAAAACTGAAAATGACTCAACACTTCTGAAAAATGCCCAGGGCAACTTGGATTCGAATAAAATCTCCAGGAACTTCCAGGAAAAAATTATTTACTTCATTCTGTTCCCTGAGACCCCAACAAAATGAAACAACAATAACAACAAAACTTAATGAAAAAACTGTGAAGTAATTCAAGCCACAGATGTAGTAGGATGTCTGCCAAATATGTGGTATCTGTAGTGAACCCAGAAAGGATGCTGAAAACTATTAAATCACCTTTCCATACTTCAATCAGGCTGAGATTTGTCTGAGTAAATGATAGGGTCTGGAGACACTCAAGTGATAATGCTTACTAACACAGAGGAGTGGAGGACCAAACTGGTTCAGCTCCATGATAGGCAGGGAAAAGCCCAGTAGGCACCTAGTTCTGTAACTGGGCTGAATAGGAGGCAGGATAGATGGGAGAAACAGCTGGGTTCTGCCATCTTAACACTCTCCAACACGCAGACTCCTAACCCAGGGAACTGCCTGGAGAGGAGGCAGGGAGGAAAGCTGTTTAGTGCTTCACTGCTATAAAACATGTAGGAATACCAAATCTTTGAAGAAAATCTCCAGCAGAAAATAGTGAGACTTAAGCAAACACACCGGAGGTGGGTAGGCAAGGGGGAGAAGAAAACAATGAGATCAATGCAAAAAACTTAAAATACTTTAAAGTGCAAAAAAAATCCTCAAAGATCTTTCTGAAAGAAAAATAGGATGCTAGTACTGACTTAAGAAAGGAAACATTAGGAGAATAAAAAGATCTCTTAGGCTTCAAAAAAAAAAAAAATTGATGATTCAGCAGGTCATGGCCCCCCCCCCCCCAAAAAAAAAAAAAAAATCTATGAAAGCCAAAAAACAAAGATAATTTGAAAGATAATTCTAGAAAATTTCTCAGGAAGTAGAAAGAGCAACAGAAAACTGGATAGAAAAGTTCAGAAAAATAAAAAAATAATTCGTAAAAGTTTCCTCTTCAGCTAAAAGAAGTTATAGTAATGGAATACAGAGAAAATGGAGAGAAGGAAACTTTCACATGAATACTAAATGAACATTTCTTGTATTCAAATCTCTACGTTAAAGGGCCCCAGAAGGGCTGGGGGTGGAAGAATAATAAAGAATACCTATACTAAAGCAGAGCCTTCCTTAAATTTCAGAATATCTTAGAGAAATAAAAGATTCTAAAAACTTTTCATAGACAATAGGTCACATATAAAGAATGAGGACGCTGAAGAGCCGCGGATTTTTGAAAGGGATCATTGGCAGACTATGAAATAGTGTTTTCAGAATAACTTATATCTGAGATTCTATACCCAGCCAAAATATCAATTAAGTTAGAGGGCAGAATAGGGACATTTTTAGTCAGGAATTAATTTAAAAATTATTCCAAGGGTTCCTTGGATCCTTACTCAGAAAGCTACAGAAGGATATGCCCTAGTAAAATAAGGAACTAAACCAAGGCATAAAATAACATAGGATCCAGAAACAGGGAACTCAACACAGCAAAGATGTTAAATGAACTCCTGGGACAATAGTGAAGCAAGATCCCAGGATGACAACTGTATAAAATGCAAGGGGACAGCCAGTCCTGATTAGAAAAGACAAAGGGTTCCAAAAGGGAGATCTTAAATTTAAAACGAATGAAAAGAAACTGATATATTATCATACACGTTGACCATGTTTTGAAAGATTTCATATGTTGGTGAATTAGAAAAGAATCAGCTATGAACATACATGTGCATGTGTCCTTACAACAGAACGATTTATAATCCTTTGGGATATATACCCAATAATGGGATTGCTCAGTCAAATGGAATTTCTATTTCTAGGTCCTTGAGGAATCATCACACTGTCTTCCACAATCATTGAACTAATTTGCAATCCCACCAACAGTGTAAAAGTATTCCTATTTCTCCACATCCTCTCCAGCATCTGTGGTCCCCTGATTTTTTAATGATCACCATTCTAGCTGGCATGAGATGGTATCTGAATGTAGTATTGATTTACATTTCTCTAATGACCAGTGATGATGAGCATTTTTCATATGTTTCTTGGCCTCATATATGTCTTCTTTTGAAAAGTGTCTGTTCATATCCTTTGCCCACTTTTGAATGTTTTTTTTTTTTTTTTCTTGTAAATCTGTTTTAGTTCTTTGTAGATTCTGGATATAAGTCCTTTGTCAGATGGGTAGATTGCAAAAATTTTTTTCCCATTCTGTTGGTTGCCGGTTCACTCTAATGATTGTCTGTTTTGCTGTGCAGAAGCTCTGGAGTTTAATTAGATCCCATTTGTCTATTTTGGCTTTTGTTGCCAATGCTTTTCGTGTTTCAGTCATTAAGTCCTTGCCTATGCCTATGTCCTGAATGGTTCTGCCTAGGTTTTCTTCTAAGGTTTTTATAATGTTAGGTCTTTTGTTTAAGTCTTTAATCCATCTGGAGTTAATTTTAGTGTAAGGTGTCAGGAAGGGGTCCAGTTTCTGCTTTCTGCACATGGCTAGCCAGTTCTTCCAACACCCTTTATTAAACAGGGAATCCTTTCCCCACTGCTTTTGTCAGATTTGTCAAAGATCAGATGGTTGTAGATGTGCGGCATTACTTGTGAGGCCTCTGTTCTATTCTATTGGTCTTTATCTCTGTTTTGGTACCAGGACAATGCTGTTTTGATTACTGTAGCCTTATAGTATAGTTTGAAGTCAGGTAGTGTGATGCCTCCCACTTTGTTTTTTGCTTAGAACTGACTTGGCTATGTGGGCTTTCTTTTGGTTCCATATGAAGTTTAAGGTGTTTTTTCCAGTTCTGTGAAGAAGGTTATTGGTAGTTTGATGGGGATAACGTTGAATCTGTAAATTACTTTGGGCAGTATGGCCATTTTCACAATATTGATTCTTCCTAACCATGAGCATGGAATGTTTCTCCATCTGTTTGTGTCCTCTCTTATTTTGTTGAGCAGTGGTTTGTAGTTCTCCTTGAAGAGGTCCTTTACATTGTTCATTAGTTGTATTCCTAGGTATTTTATTCTCTTTGTAGCAATTGTGAATGGCAGTTCGTTCTTGATTTGGCTCTCTTTAATTAAGGCTGTTATTGGTGTATAGGAATGCTTGTGATTTTTGCACACTGATTTTGTATCCTGAGACTTTGCTGAAGTTGCTTATCAGTTTCAGGAGATTTTGGGTTGAGACGATGGGGTCTTCTAAATATACAATCATGTCATCTGCAAATAGAGACAATTTGACTTCCTCTTTTCCTAATTGAATACCCTTTATTTCTTTTTCTTGCCTGACTGCTCTGGCTAGAACTTCCAGTACTATATTAAGTAGGAGTGGTGAGAGAGGGCATCCTTATCTAGTGCCAAATTTCAAAGGGAATGCTTCCAATTTTTGCCCATTCAGTATGATATTGGCTGTGGGTTTGTCGTAAATAGCTTTTATTATTTTGAGATAAGTTCCATCGATACCTAGTTTATTAAGAGTTTTTAGCATAAAGTGCTGTTGAATTTTGTTGAAGGCCTTCTCTGCATCTCTTGAGATAATCGTGTGGTTTTTGTCTTTGGTTCTGTTTATATGGTGAATTACATTTATAGACTTGTGTATGCTGAACCAGCCTTGCATCTCCAGGATGCTACTTGATCATGATGGATAAGCTTTTTGATGTGCTGTTGCAATCCGTTTGCCAGTATTTTACAATAGCAAAGACCTGGAACCAACCCAAATGCCCATCGATGATAGACTGGACAGCAAAAATGTAGCACATGTACACTATGGAATATTATGCAACCATAAAAAAAGATGAGTTTGTGTCCTTTGCAGGGACATGGATGAACCTGGAAACCATCATTCTCCGCAAACTGACACAGGAACAGAGAATCAAGCACTGCATGTTCTCACTCATAGGCAAGTATTGATCAATGAGAACACATGGACACAGGGAGGGGAGCACCACACACTGAGGTCTGTAGTGGGGGACTAGAGGAGGGACAGTGGGGGGTAGGGAGTTAGGGAGAGATAACGTGGGAAGAAAAGCCAGATTTAGGTGACGGGGATGGAGACAGCAAACCACGTTGCCATGTATGTACCTATGCAACAATCCTGCATGTTCTTTACATGTACCCCAGAACCCAAA